GGTTGAAATGTTCTTGTGTTTAAAGCTGTCGGTGCTGAGCTCCTGTGGAGTCGGCCTGGTCCAGCCACAGTCACTTTGTGTCTGCGAGAGAGATGGAGGAAGGAGGCAGTGACTCAGCAAAGGTCACACGTCACAGACGGGTCTGTCTGTGTGCCTCTGTCACCCACTTTCTCCTGTCCACAGTGATATCTGTTAGAAGGCGAACGATCGGTTTGCTTCTGCAGTGTTCAGCGTTTGCTCGCGTGCACTCACACGCACGCTTTGTTGTAGCTGACATCAACATGAGGAAATGCTTCAGTTTAAGAAAGAAGAGCTGTGGGCAGACGCAGAGAAGACTTACATAAGCCTGCAAGTTGGCACTGCTGCCTTTTCTTTTGCCTTTTTCCTCTCGTACGCTCACCTACACAGCGTGACTATTACAGTAACATACGCCGAGCTCCTTCGGCGGAATAGCACCTTATTTCCTGAGTCTTTCTGAGGCACCCTCGCCGCCTCTGAAACACCATCCCTCTCCCTTCAATAGCTGCCTTTGTGCTTCTGTTAAACAAACAATATCGGCGAGGCGGCCTCAGTCGCTTCCTGGTCTCGATTAGCCGAGGGAATGTGGAATCTGGACTCGTGGAGGCTCTCTGGATTCACGTTCATTCTGAGGCTTTTGCATCAAATTCTCTCCGACATGTTTACAAGTTCAATATTTGAATTTAGATGAAAGCAGAAGCGCTGCAGAAGTGCAAGCTGCTGATTTATGAAGCCACCGCGGGGGGTGTTTGACTGCAGAGCTGGTGCTGTAGGTGCACATGTAGAACACAGTGTGTAGGAGGTGTGAGTGGGACTCGGCGCAGCTCTGACTAATGCTCGCAGCCCATCTATATTCATAGTGATGGATGGAGAAACCATCAATGACCACTCTACCGGCAGGAGCAGTTACAGATGCAGATGACCTTTACAGATGACATTTATGAAGACAGACACTCTATTATGGGATTGTTTATGGACTGTGCAATGTTCTTCTTAACCACTAAAAGTAGAATAGCTCTCTGTTTATGGTCCCTATGATAAATAAATAAATGTAGCTGCAATAAATCTTAAGACGGGTCGGTCGTTTCACTTTACTTGTTGTTTACTTCATATGTTTAGATATTCCTCGGTGGATGTGTGCGTCCTGCGTTTGTGTGGAGTGAGTTTAACTGATTGCTGAGCTGTTGCGTTGCTTCTCACAGATGGATCGTGGAACAGCGACAAGCCCAAGTTACTGAAGCTGGGAGTGCTCCCTGTGAAGGCCATGCTGGCTGTGGAGGAGCACCTCTGGGCCTCGTCGGGTGGGCAGGTCTTCATCATCAGCACCCACGCACACTCTGTAGAGGTATGTCGCCCAGGCTTCTCTTCTTCTTCTTCTCTTACAGTAGTAACACATGTCCATCAGAAACGGGCAGATAGACACAAAGCTTCCTGTCTGCGTCTCTGCCCCAGCCCGCCTCGTATCGCTCTGTCATGTTTGTGGGAAATCTGAGT